TTGAACAAAGGCATTCGCCTCTCCTCTCTACATCTGTTTGAGTGTTGATACTGCACTGAAAAATTGGTTAGGGTTCATCAGAGACCCTGTCATACTCGAAACTGGAATGTAAGAAAACACTACTTGGTTAGGTGATAATCTCTGATTAATTGAAGTCAGAGCTTAATTAGAATGATGTGAGATAATGTGGTTTCTGAGTTTTGAACACCCTGAGAAGGACGTATGTGAGGCTCAAGCTGCCTGTGGGCAGGGTTGCCTCTGCCACATGTGGTATTCTAACCCCACCCTGTCCCATTTGTCCCTCCAGGAAAAGTGTGCCCAGTACTGGCCATCTGATGGTCTGGTGTCCTATGGAGATATCACAGTGGAGCTGAAGAAAGAAGAGGAATGTGAGAGTTACACTGTCCGAGACCTCCTGGTCACCAACACCAGAGTAAGATGGATATGGGATGGGTGGGATCCTCCCCAAGGGAAAGCAGGACTGCCTATACCTCCTAACCCTTCCTCTGCAGGAGAACAAGAGCCGGCAGATCCGACAGTTCCACTTCCATGGCTGGCCTGAAGTGGGCATCCCCAGTGATGGGAAGGGCATGATCAGCATCATCGCTGCTGTGCAGAAGCAGCAGCAGCAGTCTGGGAACCACCCCATCACTGTGCACTGCAGGTACCACTTGCCCTGCTCTCACACAGAGAGATAGATGAGGGCCATAGTGGGCGTGTGTTAGACAGTGAAAAAGCTGCACAAGGGCAGGTATGGATAAGCACATGGCAGTCAAGTGCAGTTAAGACAGGGCTGGAGGATCAGAGTATTAAGATGTGAAGCTAGCATATTAATTAAGTGCTGAAGAACTGATAACATTACTGAGAACCAGGCATGTTGGCACACACCTGTAATCCCAACACTATGAAGGCTGAGGCAGGAGGATCACAAGATCAAGCCCAGCCTTGACAGTTTTGCAATTTAATAAGAACCTGTTTAAAAATTTTAAAATTTACAAAGGTCTGGGGTTATAACTCACTGAGAAAGCTGTGGTTCATTTCCTAGTTCTTCAGTCAATTCACATCACTAAAAAATAGCCATGTAGTGTTTATAGAAACAGAGAGATGTGGGAAAAACAGAAAAAGAGCTAGATACAGTACACACCGGTAGTATCAGCAGTCTGGTACACAGAGGCAGGAGGGTCATGAGTTTGAACCCAACCTGGACAACTTAGTGACTTAGCAAAAACTTTTCTCAAATCACAAAAGGAGCTGGGGATATAGCTCAGTGCAAAGGCTCTGGGTTTAGTCCTTAGTACAAAAATTAAATACATAGAGGAGCCAACAATGCCTCCCAGGTTGGAGGCTGGGTTACTGATAACTGCTAATGAAGTAGCAGAAGGATGGTAAGAAAGCTTACTTGGAGGGAGAAGATGAATTTTGTTTGGGGTATGTTGAGATTACATTTTTTAAAAAAGTTTATCCTGAGTTTTTCTTAACAGTAAATTTTCTCAAAAGGTTTGTCACCCCATCCCATTGCTTTCCTTGCATCTTCTCTCAAGCTCATGTCAGTTACACCCTGCTCTCTCCCTGAAGTTTCCCTGGGCTGCCTGTGGCCTCCAGATTGCTGAAACCAGTGATCACCTCGTCTCTATACTTGACTCTCCCCATGTAGGCTTTTCCTTCCCTGTGTGCTGTGCTGATTCTTCCCCATCTGGGTCTGAACCCTCATCCTTGAAGCTCTTGTCAGTCAAGACAGTGCGCCTAGTTGAGCTTCCCCAGGCTCCTAGCTTTGATACCAGTTCTTAAGTCTTTATCACTAGCTCACCCTCCCCTCTAAACTCCAGGTTAGTGGTCCAGTTACAAGTGTTTCCATGTGACTGTCTAATAGCGATGCTCATGTAGGGTTCCGATAGGTTCATGTGAAAACCCCTACTGTTTCCTCCCAAGCCTGCAGTTTGCACAGCTGTCCCCAGATAAGTAAATGATGTTTTCATCACCCGCTTAACTCCAGGGAAAAGCTTTGGAATTACCATGTTCTCTTCTCTTTCTCTCGCCTATGACATCTAATCCATCAGCAAGTCACACTGTGCCTGCACATGTCAGAATCTGAGTACTTCTCACTGCGTCCCCCGTGGCTACTGTCTGAGCCACCTGTCCTTCCCAGTAGTTGTTCCAGCCTGCCTGCTCGCACCCTCCCTGACATTGTTCTCAACACAGCAGCCAGAGAGAGCCTTTTAACCTGTGTCAGACCACAGCCATATTGCTCCTTCACTAAAACCTCACCATGATCTGAGAGCTTGCTCCCAGGCCAGCCAGGGCAGTGCACTGGGAACTGGCGTTCTTCTGGAGCTCTGACCTCACCCCACCACCTCCTGCCTGCCTGCCTTTCGTTCAGCAATACGGACTTTGGCAGCCTCAGAACTCCTGCTTGGGGCCTTGAGCAGCTCATTCCCAAACAGCCATAGGACTTCCGCACACTGTCCTGACTTGTCTGTTCCTTCAGAACCCCTGACGAGAGCCTTCTGTGGGTACCCTGTTTGGCACTCTTTCTTCTTCTCTCCGTACTGCTTACGTTTTTATCCAAGGAGACTGCTAAACCCCACAGTCCCCTGCCACAGAGCAGGCACTCAGTGTCCTGTCACAGAATCCTCTGATAACATTGAATAAGGTGAATACCTCAGAGTCCAGATTCCCTCAATTCAGGAAAATCAGAGGCATGGAGAAGAATCAGCAGTTATACATCATTGCAGACAATTTATCAGGGAAAGGGAAATGTGAACCCCAACTTGAGCCACCAGAGGTTCAGGGCAGCCCAGGTGTGTTAGCAAATGGGCAGCAGGGGCTAGTGGGGTTTTGGTTTGGGATCTAATGTGGGGTTTGTTTCTTTTTTATTTTTTTGGGTTTGTTTCTTTGTTTTGTTTTTAGACAGGGTCTTACTGTGTAGTTCAGATTGGCCTTGATTTCACTGTGTTGTGCAGGCTAACCTCAAACTCGATGATCCTCCTGCCTCACCCTCCCAAGTGCTGGGATTACAAGCATGCACTACCACGCCCAGCAAGGGCTAGTACTGATGGAATCATTACCTTGGTCCACGGGTAGGGCTTGGACACAGGGTACCATGCAGACAGGGCTCTCACAGGGCTCCTGCAGGCTGAGAAGGCATAGGTGAGCATGGGTCTGGCAGTTCTGTGGATTACACCCTGCTCTGGCACCAGCCTCAAGTGCTGTCTGCTCCCCAGAACACTCATTCACCCCTCAGCATGGATGTCTAGTAATAAGATGACTGCTCTGTTTCAGTGCTGGGGCAGGACGGACCGGGACCTTCTGTGCCCTGAGTACAGTCCTGGAGCGTGTGAAGGCAGAGGGGATTTTGGACGTCTTCCAGACCGTCAAGAGTCTGCGGCTACAGAGGCCACACATGGTCCAGACACTGGTATGCTATGTCCTCATCTTTGCCACCACCACCTGCAGCCTTTCTCCGTCAGGGAGGCCTTCAGATGGGCCACCCAGTAGTCAGAAGACTGACAACCACAGACCCAGTCTGCCCTGAGGCGCCCTAGACAGACAGGAAGTACCTTGGGAGGCTGGAAAGGTCCCAGCGGGAAGGCAGCTTGTGTCACACCAAAGGGGATGCAAAAAGTTAGAAGAGGTTGCTGCCTCTGTGTTTCAGCTGGGTCTGTGGGAGAAGGCTGGAGGTCTTGCCCTTGTTCTGCTCAACTCCCTGTTAAGAGATCTCATGCGTATCAGTCTGGCCGTCCACAAAGGTTTTCCTGAATCCTGAGGACCTAAAATGTTTGAAAATTTTAGATTTGGGAAAAGGGGGCTGGGGATTTAGCTCAGTGACATAAGTGTCTTTTTGGCAAGCGCAAGGTCATGAGTTCAATCCTTAGTACTGAAAAAAAAAAAAGATTTGGGAAAAGATGAGGCTTTGAGAACCAGAGCACATCCTAACCTGGTAGCCATGGTGAGCGCTGGGCCACCATCTGGATGCCACCTTTCTCAAGCCAGCATATACATGGCTGACCTCACAGGACCCAGGACTGTCCTTGTCAGTCAGCGGGCTCTTTAGAAGACCCACTCACTCAGCCCTGGGGCAGAACCATGGGAACTCAGGCAGACAGATCAGGCAGGGCAGATTCTTCAGTAACCTTGGCCTTTTTCCCGGTCTCTGCTCTCCAGGAACAGTATGAGTTCTGCTACAGGGTGGTGCAAGAGTACATTGATGCCTTCTCAGACTACGCCAACTTCAAGTAACAGGCGACTCGCCCCACAGACAGGAGAATTGCCTTTAATATTTTGTAATATTCTGTTTTGTTAATATACCCAAAATTGTGTATATATCTTATAACTGTTTTAGAAATTGGTACATAGGCTTCTATTACCTATTAGGTGGAGATTTTATATGTAAATGTGTTAGCACTGATAGTCCTTTTTCCAATGTTTTATTGGGGAATTAAATAGTGTGATGTTTGGATTGATATCGTGAAATCCTCCGCCTGGGAATTGATCTGAATTGTTCTTGGGTTTAAACATCTTTTCCTAAAAAGATAAACACAAAACCCATTCCAGATAGCTTGGTACCAACTAAGGAAAAAAAAGCACAAAAGTTCTCAGAGCTCCCGAGGAAGTGGTTGTCCCAGTATCCCCATGCAGGCCTCGGTTTCCTCCCTGCACTGTAAATATCCCTCTCCTCGAGGGCCCATCTGCTTCTCCCTGCCTACATCCCGGCAGCCCCCTGTGGGGAGTAATGGGACCAGAGCGATATCTCTGGCACCACACTAGGGATTATCAGATAATAAACGTTTTGACTCCCTGAGGAAATGTCTCTCCCTTTGTCTGGGGTGGCGCAGCCAGACAGGGCTTCAGCTCTTCTAGACCACTCCTTGCTCTGCTATTGCTGTCTCTGGGTTCCCTGGCTGTTTGTCAAGTGCAGCCCCTCTGTCTCTCCGTATTCCACAGGGTCCTCTTTGTCTTTCTCAGCAAAACTTTATGTGGTAAGGTCCCGGCCAGTCTCACTCACTGGATGCAGAGTGAGAATCCACTAAGGGCCACTGGAGGAGGAGAAGCTGGCTTGGCCTTGGGGCTGTAGCCAGTATGACCCTCCTGTTCCTGGTGCTTTGCTTCAAAACCATCTAGATTGAGTCACTCTGTCCAGAGTAAGTCTTTATAACCACACGGAGTGGTTCAGTAGCTCCCATTTCCTTCCATATGTGTTCTCAATTCCGCAGCTTTGTGCAAGGTCTTACAGGTCCAGAAGCCAGCGTATTGAGAGTCTTGGATCTACTCACTGGGAGTCTTAAAGCTTGACATGTTTGACAGGAACGTGGAACTTCTGTGTCCTAAGGCAGGTGGATGTTCATTTATTTTTCCTGAACACTCTGCTGGGCGCCAGCACCCTTTCCCCGAGATGAAATCCTCATCCTCATGGTGGGAGCTTGATTGGTGTTACGTCCCTGCTCTATCTTAACATGGGGATAGAGCATCGGAGCATTTTTAGGGACTAAAGTAGAAGTCATACCTTTCCTTTCTATTCATACCCCATTGGCTAGAACCTCATCCTATGGCTACACACAAGTACAGCGGGTGCTGGGCAGTGTGGCCTTCTGCTGGGGCTCACCTGGGAGGGTGTGTGCCCACTGCTCATAGGCTCAGGGGCAGAAGGTGGGCTGGAGAGCAGGCAGAAGAAACCTGTGACCCTGAGCCATTCTTGAGACCTAGAGCAGGCCCCCGTCCTCCTCAGCTTCAGGGGTAGGGGACAGCATCCCAGCCTATTCCTCTCAGGTCACTGCCACCAGGCTACTTGGAGAATGTGGAACTTGAACTGGACCCAGGGGTACTCGAAATCCAGGTTTCATGTAAAGGAAGGAAGATCAAGTGGGACTGCATCACAAAGGGCTTCTGAGTTCAGGGCACACAGTGAACATCTGGTGCCTCCAAGAAGGCAATCTGGTTGTGCACCATGTACTGTAGATGTGCATTGGGGCAGGAAGGTGTGTGGAGGCAGGGGCACAACAGCAAACCACTCATGGAAGCTTCAAGAGGTGTGTGCGGGTGGTCACTGCCACCCACATGGGAGACTGAGGCAGAGGGATCATTTGAGTGCAGGATTTTGAGGCAGCCTGAGCAATGTAGGGAGACCCAACCTTTAAAAAACATGTAGGTATAGAAAGAAACAACTGTATTCAATACAGTAGTACTTCAGCTCACAAACTTAATGCATCCCATGATTCTGAGGAAAACGCCCAAGTTCCTGTCTGTTACCCAATGTAGAGTTGGTGAGCAGAAGCAAAATTTTGCTGAATGCTTTGTTCTCGAATGGAAGTGTTCCTGTGTCGGTGTCTGTGAGAGCTCTCCAAGTTCCCAGGGGGAGGAAAGATGAGAGAATGAAGAAAATAAAGATAAAAGACAGAAAGCTGGGGTCAGGTGGAGCCCTTCTACCATATGGGAGAGAGACACCTCAACCCCCGTATGTGTCTGTTCATACACTTGTCATACCCCGCCCCTGTGCTCACCTAGCTCGCTTCTTCCACCTGTGTTCCCCTGAGTTCTCTGGCTGGGCACCTTCCTCCTCCAGCGCTCCATGCCCTTGGGGCACTCCTGTTCAGGCCCTTAAGTTATCCTAGCAGCCTCAACATTCATGAACTAAGATATTACTGTATTTTACTTTTTTTTTTTTTCAAATCCATTTTATTTCAAGGATAAAAAGAGAAAAAACTGCAACAAAATTTCAAAGCACATCTATCAGGGGCAACAATGGTACATACATTGTGCATTTTCATCCCCAAATCATTCACTCAGACCACAAGACATCTGCATTCAGTTATCCAAACAATACTAGCACAAATCCTTCTCTTCAGTGAACTTGGAAAAATCAGTAGTATAACTGTCTTAACTTTTTTGTGTATATATATACATACATATTTATGTTTTTTTCTTTCAGCTCACACTAATGAAATTATGTTTACACATGTGTGTCTTATTTATTTCACTAGTGAGTATGGTCTTAAGTTGCATCCACTTACCTATAAAAGTCTCCAGTTTATCCTCATTTATGGCTGAGTAGTACTCCATTGTATAAAAATACCACATTGTTTTTATCCATCCCTCAGTTGATTGGCATTTAGGTTGTTTCCAAGATCTAGCTATTACAAACTGTGCTACTATAAACATGGGTGCACATACATTACTGTGGTATGATGTTTTTCTTTTGGGAGGATACCCAGAAGGGGAAGAGCTGGTTGAATGGGACTTCTAGTCCTAGAGTTTTGAGGAACCTCCACACTGATTTCCACAGTGGTTACACCAGTCCACACTTCCATCAACAGTGGAGAAGGGTTCCTTTTTCTCCACAGCTCCTTCAGCATTTGTTATTGCTTGATTTCTTGGTAATAGCCATTCTTTCCAGGGTAATCTCAGTGCTTTTTTAATTTGCATCTCTCAGATGACCAGTGAGGTTGAATATATTTTCACATATTTATTTGCTGTTTGTATCTCTCCATCTGAGAAGTGTGTATTCATCTCAGATGCCCATTTTTGGATTGGGTCTTTAAATCTGGGAGGACTGGTGTTTTTTGAGTTCTTTATACGTTCTCTACAGTAATCCTTTAAGGAACAGCTGACAAACTATTACTGTATTTTAAAATTAAGGGCAGTGAAAGGTAACAAATCAGTGGTGCGCTTACCTGTCATGACAACTCAGGGTTCACTCCCCAGTACCACCCAGCACAAAACAAAATCTAAAGTAGTGCTCCCCAGAACCAGAGGCTTGGCATGTAACTCAGCAGTAGTCTTGCCTGGCACACAGGAGACTGCCCACTTCAGCAACAACTGAAGATGTGAGTGCAAGTCATGAGAGCCATTCATTCAGTACTTCTGTGGGAGCTAAGGACTCCAGGAGCCAGGTCAGCCAAACCCAGCAGTGCCCGAAGAAACCTTACAGTAAAGTAAAGACAGAATAGGAATTTCCAGTGCAAGGTGTTGTGCTTACGGAGGTGTCCCTGTCTTCTCCATCACTAGGCTCCCAGCAAACACTCAGCTGAGGCCATCCCCGTGCCTCTCCCTCCCCCATCCCAGTGCTGCATCCTTAGCGCCCAGTGGGCTGCTCACTCATTGCCAGGGCTGCCTTGGGCAGGATACACCAGTGAGGCCTGGCCAGGTTCCTGCTGCACTGGTATTCTAGCTGTAACCTAACTGCTCTGCAGGAATTAGCTCAACTCTTCCCTTCTCTCATCCCTTCATCCCTTCTACTTCACTTCCTTCTTTCTCAGGGCTCACTTGGCATGGTTACAAGACAGGTAAATCCAGCAAGAACCAGGGTAGACCTAAGGAATAAATGGCCCAGACCCACACGCCACAGCCACAAGGGAAAAACAAGGGGGACCACTTCATCCAGTGCCCCCCCATAGTCAGTCAGCTGTTACTCCCAGGGGGCTGAGCGAGTAGCAGGCCACACTGCCATGCACCCTAAGCTCCAGGTCCTGCCATTCTGAGACCTCACTTCAAGTAAGCTCCCTGCTGGGTTTCATTTGTACTCCTTCACTACCACCTCCAGATACGACAGACTTGTGAAAACATCTGTTCTGCACTTTCCTTCAGCCCTTCCTGCTTCCTTCCCACGCGGGCTGTCTTACTTTGCCATCACTGGGACAAAATACCCAACACCCAAACTTCAAAGAGAAGAGATTTACTTTGGCTGCAAGGAAAAAACAGCCTGGTGGAGAAACAGCAAAGGGCGTGGTGAAGGAGCAGGCCCTCAACCCACTGCAGCCAAGAAGCAAAGCAAAGCAGAGCTTGAGGGGAGGAGATGGCAGAAATGAGCCCTTCCAGGCCCCACCCCGTGACCTGCCTCCAGCCAGGCCCCCTAACAGCATGTTCAGATACCTGGATGGATGAAGCCACTGATGAGCACAGTGCCCCCCGAATCCTGTTGCCTTCCACACAGGTGCACATTTAGGGGGACATGTTAGACCTAACCATAACACATGCCTTTCACCTGAGTTTGCCAGGGGAGCCAGGGATCCGTTGCCTGTCATCCACTAACTCTCCCCTAGGGTTGGTGATTCTCAGACTTTTATCTCAGTAGCTGCTTCTTCACAGTCTCCTGTGGAGTGTGAGGGGCTGGGCTGTCTGGACCTCCAGGTCCTCTCCTCCTTCCTTCTCCAGGATTCCTTGCTGAGTGACTCATCTGAGTGGTCCATAGACACCCATCTCTGATTCCCACCCCTGGCTGTTCCCAATCCTTTGGGTTCCACCTGTCCAAGGTGCCTGCCCCACTATACTGTACCCACACAGATCACTGGCAGCTCTCTGTTTTGTTCTCTCATTGGCGCACCCCACTGTGCCCTTCCATGGTGCTCCCATCTCTCCAGCTAACTCATCTTGACTCTTGGCCCCGGCCACTGTTCAGAATGTGTGCACATCTATCTCTGGCCACAGCTGGCATTCAGCTCTAACCCTCTGCTTTTCCAGGTGCCTTAGCTGCCTGAGCAATGCACAGCTGCAGAGAGGTTTTATGCTCTCTGAATAAGTAGGCATTAGTTGGAGGCCAATGGTGAACAAAGATCACCCCATTCTGCTGAGGTAATGAAGAACTCCAGAGCTAGTAATCTGGAAGGGATATCACAGCCAGTCCTGAAAAGCTAAGTATGTTGCCAGAAAAAAAAGGAACCAGGACTTTGCCTGGGAAGCTTAGTTACTCTGGTTTGTATTTTTTCAGGAAAAACTATAATCAAATGACAGAGAAAAAAAGCATCCCATTCCTCTTTTAAAATAAATTTCAGGCTGGAATTGTAACTTAGTGTAGAATAATGCTTGTCCACAATCCAGGAAGCCCATGGTTGGATCCCCAGCACTTAGAGGCTGAGGCAGGAGGATCACTGCAAGATCAAGGCCAGCCTGGGCTGCATAGTGAGTTCCGTGCCTTCATGAACTACATAGTGAGACCCTGTTTCAAACAAAACAAAGCAACACTAGGCACTTTGAAACATTCTGTAAACCCAACCCAGAACATGAACTCAGGGGTGTTTGCTCATTTGTTTTGCAGTGCTGGGGGTTGAACCAAGGCCTTGTAAATGCTAGGCAAGTGCTCTATCACATCTCAGCCCTTTCTTTTTCATATATGATGTAGGCTATTGCTATTGTCACCAGGTTTTGGGGTGCTGGAGCCTCCTTCTAGAGGTGCTTTCTAGGTTCTCTGTCCTGAACAAAGAATTGGTCAAGACAAGAAGGGATGATAGCAAAGCTTTCCATTTCTTAGAGATGAAAAGCAGCAGACTCTGCACAGTGAGTCTGGGCCAAGTAACAGTAGGACAATAAGTATACCCTATAAAACAGACACAGCTGGGGGCTGGGGATTTAGCTCAGCAGGCATAAGCGCCTGCCTTGCAAGTGTGTGGTCGAAACAGACACAGCTGCCCCAAACTCCAGGCCTACTGTCATGTTTGTATTTTCTACCCTGAGGCTATTGTCAGGTCTCGGCCATTCCATCAAAAAAGCTGCTGAGTTCCAGTGAGAAGTGCATGTGCAGGTGAGGGCTTTGGAAAGGAACTGTTTTGTGCATTTCTCCTGGAATTTTGTAATTAACACATCATGCCTACTTTCTCAGCTGGTCTTTGCCACACCCTAGCCTCTTGCCTCACACTGTGTTGCCCAGTCTGACTTCAAACTCATGATCCTCCTGCCGCAGCCTCCTGAGTAGCTAGGTTTGCAGGGATGAGCCTCTGTGCCTGGTTTCAAAGAGCTGTTTTTAATAAGCTATAAAGCAAATATTTCTCTAAAAATCACTGTTTACAAAGTCTATATATTTCCCAAAGCAATTTAACTGAACATGCAGTTCTCACATTCATTTCAATCTCTGCTAATATGTCACTTTGGGAAGTCACAGCTGAAACCCACATGCCCAGGACTGTCCATGGCGCCTGCAATGAGCTCCCTCCCCATCTCTGTTGAATTTGATGAATCTGTTTGCACAGTGACTCTGCTCTCCAGAATGCCAAGCTAGACCCTGATTCTCAGATTTGCTGTTGAGCCCAAATGTGAATTGGCTATTAACCCTGTAAACAGGCTTCTGACCCCTGGAGGCAGAGGCTGCCGTAGAAGCTGAGCTACTGACGCAGCCTGGGCATCATGGGTTTGTTGCTAGCAGTGTAGCACAACTCTGTTGAAATCCACAATGGTCCTGGTGATCATGGGACTAAAAAGGTGTTTAAGCTTGGGAGACAAATTTACCCACTATTGATACCCCCAAGGAGACTACAGGTCCTCTCAGCTGATCCCCTCTCCTGGGCCTGGTTGGAGAGAAGAGAGGCCACTCCTGGACAACCCACCCCAACCCACCTGCATTTGGTGTGACCCAGCTCTTCAATAACTGTGTGGATACGACCTTTCTATCCTCCCACCTTAACAGGTGAAATATCACAATTTTTAGATCAAGGAAGGATTTGTAAACCTCAAGGGCAGGAGCTTAAGAATGCATCCTGGGAACTGAGAAGATAAGACCAAAACATGGACCAGGCTCCTGAGGTTTCTTCAAGAAATCATAAACAGTGAAAAGTAAAGACAGTTTTATTCAAGCACAGAATAGATTTGCAAGTTAGGTACACATATTCAATTGGACTAAACCAGTGTTCTGTCTGGCGAAAACAGTCTGAGTGTTAGAAGAAGAAGGAACATGTGCAGTGTAGCCCTCGATGAGAGAGAAAAGTGGGACTAAGGCAATTGGGTGCCAATCTGGCTAGATGTAACTTTTCTAAGTCCATTGCTATGTCCAGGCCAGGAGACAAAACTGGGCACTCCCCAACATTGCAAGGTATTGTTAAGATTCCAGAACACTGTTCCCTCTGGCGGCTCAGTCCCCAGCTTGATGTCTTTGTGGCATTTACCCCATTAGTAAAGCTCTGAGGCTCAGAAGAGGAACTGTGCTCTCCTTTGGACCACTCTGCAGTCATTTTGACTTTAATTCCCTGGGAAGATGGGGAAGGGAGTGGGGCATGTCTTGTAACCTTAGAGCCAGAGGTGGCTCAGGGTGTGTTCATGAAATAGATGCTGCAAGATGGGGTGGGGTGGCAGGATGCTCCCCTCATCCTCAAGACGTCACTGGAGTCTGTGGGCCAGAGCAGAGGGTGGAGCTATCTGATCAATAAATCCCAGGATTGCTGGCTTAGGTCCTGCAGCTGCCAAAGGAGCCACCTCCACCACAGCTGTCCTGCTGAGTGCCTGAGGAGGCCAACCTCCCTCAGGGATAGAGCTCCAGCCCCGATGTGCTTGGCACACTGCTCCCTTCCCCTTCCCCTCTACCCTTGACATTGCCATAAAAGAACCTCCCCTTTTCCCCTGCTCCCCCAGCAATGCTGTGTGTTCCTGTGCTTACCACCTCGCATGGGAGGGACAAGGAATACAAGCATTTTCTCCCAGCATCACCATATATCCATTCTACGCTTCCAGCTACTACACAAGGGAGATGGCAGGGCGCACAGCCTGCCGCTTGGGTTCCCCAGCACCAGGTGCTCCAAATGCTCCCCTGGGGTACCTTCCTCTGGCCCAGGCCAGGATCCCTGGGGTCTGAACCTATAGGCCTGGGCTGAGAAGTGGCTGAAAGGGAAAGGTGCTGCAAGACACTAAAGATCCCCAAGTTGCTGTTTGGCCAGGGTGACCCTGGAGAAAGAGGAAGGGGTATGTGCAGTAGTGTCAAGGTCCTTGAGTTCTGCCCAATGTCCTTGGGAGCAGCTCCGCCATGGCCAGCTCTAGACTGGGCCTGCTGCTCCTGCTGCTGCGGCTAACCACCTGCCCTGGACCCTTGAGGGCTCAGCACTGGTCCCATGGCTGGTACCCCGGAGGAAAGCGGGCCTCTGGCTCACCCCAGGATTCCCGGACTATTCCCAGACTCCCAGGTGGATAATGGGGGTCCCAGTCTGGGTGGAAGACCGTGCTGGCTGCTGCTCTTCCACATACCTGGGCTGGGGGGTGAAGGCAGTCACAGCCTTTTATCCCTTCTGAGGAAGCGTCCTGGGCCCTGCAGCAGGCAGCCTCGCTGCCCATAGACTCCCAAATGATGACCTGGCACCCTCCGAAGACAGAGCACCCTGGAAGGGCAGGAGCATGGCCTGATGGACTCTCCATAGGAAACAGCACCAGCACTGCTGGTGAGTGGGGTGAGAGGCCCAGCATTCAACCCCAGCCCTAGTGCCCATAGCCATGCTCCTGGGGGTGAGGGTGCACACCACCACTGGAATGCTCCCTGCCCTTGCACTCCCAGCTGTTTCTCAGGTCACTAATGGTGCAGGAGATAACTGTACTAAAACTCTCCATAAATAAGACAGTGGCAGCCCTAGGGTTCTCCGGTTTCTTGACACTCCAATCTCAAGGTAAGCAGTGCTAAAAGGGAAGGGACATCCTCAAACAAGCTACAGGGCTCAAAGGCCAACATGGACCCTGGCACAGCAAGCAGGTCAGCCCTGCAGAGCTCCCCAAAACCATAGCAGAAGACGGGCGCGGGGAAACGGTTTATTACTAACTTTTGCACAGGGAACATAAAATTAAAGGAAGCACCTTAACTAAAGGAGGACGTGAAGGTTCCTATAGGCAAAAGCCTGTGGCCTAATTTAAGTTTAGGGCTGTTTAGGGTAAACTGGTTGCCTGCCCAGGTAGTTAAAGAGCCCCATGCTGGGTCCTCGGGTTGCAGAGAGGTTCTGAGCGTCGTGGAGGCCGAAGTGGGACAGGTGGGAACCAGCGGGCGCAGCATCGCGTGACCGCTCCTCTCCCTTCGCAGAACACAGCCCAAGAGATGCGCCCCGCCGCTCCCCAATAAAAGTATGAGGTCCACGTGCTGTTGCCTCCAATTGTCTCCTTCGTTCCCTCTCTCCAGTCCCACCACCACCACCGAGAGCCCCCTCATACGTCCCGGTCTCAGCCCCGCAGATGGGAGGGACTTCGGGAGAGCCAAGGGCGGGGCGGGACACGATGCACTACAGGTCCCATGGTGCCCCGCGACTGCTTCCGGGTCAGGGCGGAGTCGAGCAAAGAAGGAGACTAGGGGCCCATGCAGCCATGCTCCGCACGCTGAGCGCCTTGGGCGCGGGAGCCCCGTGCCGGCCGCTCACCGTGCTGCTGATACCCGCGCGTGAACGCAAGACGCGCCACGACCCGCCGGCCAAGTCCAAAGTCGGCCGCGTGAAGACGCCGCCCGCCGTGGACCCTGCAGAGTTCTTCGTGCTGACCGAGCGATATCGGCTGTACCGCCAGATCGTGCGCGCCCTCAGGTGCGTGTAGCTGCGGGGGCCGACGGCGCCCTCGGGGAACGGGGGACGAGTGGGCGGCTGGGTGCTGATGGGCGCACGTCCTGCCCAGGCTGGAGTTTGTGGCGGAGGTGCGGAGTAAGCTGCATGAGGCCCGCGCCGGGGTCCTGGCGGAGCGCAAGGCGCTGGAGGAGGCGGCCGAGCACCGGGAGCTGATGGCCTGGAACCGGGCGGAGAACCGGCGGTTGCACGAGCTGCGGTGCGTGAGACGGGGCGCGGGGCAGGGCTGTCCGGCCGGCCTCGGGTCTGCGCGGGCCCCGCTCAGCGTGGGCCCCTTGCCGCTCGCAGGATAGAGAGGCTGCAGCGGGAGGCGCGGGAACGGGAGCAGTGGCACACGGAGGAGCGGGCGCGCCGCGCGCTAGAGGAGCAGGCCCGGATGCGGCTCAGGGAGCAGGAAGTGCAGCAGCTGCAGGTGGGGCGCGGCGGGGTACGCGGGGCCTGGGAGCGGGCGAGGGCTTGGGTGAGACGGGGCGCGAGGGGGTTATGAGCATCGAGTCCTGAGGAGAGAGTGGAAGTGGGAACCTGCAGGCATTTAGCGTAGCAAGCGGTGTTTGCGGGAGGGACCCCGAAATACATGGAAGGGCGTGTTTGACCTTGCAGGTCATTGAAAGGTCAATTTTGCGAGGAAGGATTAACAGGTTGAGGAGTAACCCAGGAACGCTGGATAGAGCTTAAATAGAGGAGAAAGAATTGGAGAGTGTTTTAAGAGGGTACCAGGAGGCAGGTTGTGGTGGTGCACGCCTGTAATTCCAGCACCCTTGAGGCCGAGGTAGGAGGATCGCTGCGGGTTTGGCCCCGGCGGGGCTAAATAATGAGTTCAGGGCCAGTCTGAACTACATAACAAGTCTCTGTCTCAAACACACAGACACAAAAGAGTGGGTCGGGTAGCATTTAGGGACTCAAGTCTATAAAGTAGGCACAACTTGTGCAAAGGGTTCTGTTTGAGGTGTCCAGGAGATGACAGAGGGATCTGGTAAGGCTGCCTGTTACCCCACTGGAAGGTTAGGGGGCACTCAGAGGCCTTAGCCTGCAGACACCCTTTTGTAGCGGGGCAGTTGGGGCTTGGGGAAGGAGTGCAGCAGGCCCTGCATTCCATCAGTTTGTATGGAGCTCCCATCAGCTGGCCTTTTCTTTCCCATAGGAAGAGGCGAAAAACTTTATCACCAGAGAGAACCTGGAGGCACGGGTGGAAGAAGCACTGGACTCCCCAAAGAACTACAACTGGGCCATCACCAGAGAGGGGCTGGTGGTCAGGCCACAGCAGAAGGGCTCCTAGGGGCCCAGAAGGAACAGTGCCTGCCAAGGGACCACGCGTGCATGGGGTTGGAGGGCTGGGTCTGGCCTGGGATGAACCTGGTATTTCCTACACGGGAAGCTCAGCCTTTTCCAAAGCAGCCCTCCCGTTCTGGCCTCTGCACTCAGCACTTGGTTAGAGACTCCACGCTCAATGTGCTCTTCTGCCCATGTCAACCTCTGGACAGCACTAGCCCATCTCATGTAGAGTAAGACTGGGCCACAATCCCTTGGGCAGGCAGACTATCTTCTCGTTGTCATTAAGAGCAATGGTTACCAAATTACAGACTGCGAGCCAAATGTGGTTAGCTGCCTGTTTTTGTAAATAAAGTTTTATTGAAATACAGCCATACTCGGCTGTTGACTCCCTTTTATATTACTATGGTGGTAGATGAATAGTTACAACAGAGATGGAATGACTTACAAAATGTAAAATATTTCTTTTCAAAGAAAAAGTTGACTGGTTCCTGCTTTGGGGCTGGGGGTTTAGATCACCTGTATGTGTGACCAAGCCAGCCATTGACCAAGGCCTGCGTTTGCTCATTTCTGGGCTTTGCGAAGCATGGGATGATCTGGCAAACTCAGAAGGCAAAAACCGGGCCCCACTTCTCTGTGTAACTGCCTGTGACTTTTATGGCCTGGATCATCCCAGCACTCTGGGTCCAAGCTCCAGATTGCTGGTATTGGGAAGCCCTGGTTGGCCACACTTTACAGGGACAGAATCCTAGGAATACTCAAGAAATGGAGACTTCTTAGGGAGTGTGGGGAGTCATGTTCCAGGTAAGGAGACAACTGTCAGGGGTGTCCTGAAAGCCAGGGCCCCTCAGGTTGGTTTTAAATCATCCTTTTCCTGGCACTGATTCCGGTCAGCACAGTGGGGTTCCTGCTTTAGGTGCCTAGAGTAGCTTCTGTTGAAGCTGCTAATGGGCATACATCCATGGACCATAATTTGTCATCTCAGCACACAGTCTGAGGCTCTGTTGGAGAAGTGGATGCCTGCAGTGGAAGCCTGTGGTGAGCTTCACATGGGACGTGGTCTGCAGTAGACTAGTTATAACATGTTTCAGCAGAACTGTAATTCAAACACCTTGCTGTAGGTTGGCTCTGATTTAAACATGGTTACATTCCTACTAGCTTGAACCAAGAGTGGGACACGCGTGACTGTCTCCTCAAGAGCTTTTTATTAATCTTACTACCACTCAGTACTTGGCACCACAGGGCAGTCGCATGGACCTCCAGTGGTTCAGGCTGGTGTGATAAGCTTTTTTGAGGCAGAATCTCACTTTGTAGTTCAGCCTGCTTACTCTTTTTTTTTTTTTTTTTTGTCTTTGTAGTTCACGCTGGCCTTAAATTGTGTGTCCTCTTGCCTCAGCCTCTGGAGTGCTGGAATGACAGGTGTGTGGCACCATGCCCTGCAAACAATAAACTTCTGAACCTCCTTGTCACTCTTTCAGGTGGATTTCTCCAACTCATCTGCACCAGGATCCCGACACATGCCAACAGTCTTCGCATAAAGGACATAATGTGGTTCCTTCTTGCATCTTTTTTTTTTAAACTTTTTATTGGTACCGGGAATCGAACTCAGGACTGCCTGCTTGCAAGGCAGGTGCTTATGCCACTGAGCTAAATCCCCAGCCATGTGGTTCCTTCTTAAAACTCTGGGCTGGTTTCCCTTCTGGGCTGTCCTTTAACATTCTGCATGGGACCTAACACCTTAGTGTACACCACCTGCTGACGTCAGTGCCTGCACAGATCCGCCTGTTAACTTTCACTCCACCCACACCCATCCTCCCAGGGTAGGTGCAAACAGGTAGCTCACCTCCAGGGGTAGCTCAAGCCCAGCTCTGTGCCTGGCTCCTCACAGACCTGCAGAACTTGGAGGAGCTGGGTAGGCTGTCAGTTCCTGCCCAGGCCAGCCTACAGCACAATACAGTGTCTAATCAGACCCCTGGATGGTGTACCTGACAGTTCCTGAAGAACACACGGGCTCTCATTTTTGCTTCAGGTTCCAGATACTGGGAAATCTGTGCTCCATAGGCTTGTAGGGGCTGCAATTGCCAGAATTAGAGTTTGTGCATTCCAGTCCACCTAGAGAATCTTCTCTTGTTCAATCCCCCAGTGTGGGTGGCAGGTTGGGGGTCTAACTAGTAAATACATCTGGAGCAGAAGCCCAGGTAAGTGTGCTTTCCTAAAACCTGAGGAAGCTGACCCTGCGTGGTGCCCGGGGTGGACAGGACAGAAGTGCTGTTGGTGTTTCACTTGAGATGGGAGCTTTGCTGAGTGGACAGTTAGTTCCCCAGGATTATCTCCCCAGTCATCGAGACGTTTTAGAGATACACTTGATTCTTTTTTGGTATTTTGTTTTTTGAGATAGGGTCTCGCTTGTTTCATGCAAGTTGGCCTTGAATTCACTGTGTAGCCCAGCTTGGCCTTACATTCTCAGGGATCCTCTTGCCTCAGCCTCCTGAGTGCTGGGATTCCAGGCGTGCACCGTCACACCCAGCCCGATTCTTACTCCTTCCAACCCACCAGGCTGAACAGCATGAGGTCAGTGAGGTGACTTCCCTAAAGGACTGTGGGCGGGTGGTCAGAGTCTTGAGGATTCAGCTGTGGGTAATGCAGAGTTGCTGTCACGTAGACTGCACGCGAAGGGGCCGTTTTGCTGCCAGGTGAAGGCAGACTTCACCGGTTTGTTGGGAGTAGATGGAAGAAAGAACATGCTTGCTGGGTTAATACCTGCTGGGTGCCCTGTTAAGCTGCTCCACCAGGGAGACCCCTCCTGGCCTGGCTAGCTGTTGCCCATATTTCTCCAGTAATTCCATGTTTTCTGCGTGGAGCTTCAGTATTCAGAAATTGTGAAATCTGTGGAAATACTCCCTGTGAATTTATAAGTGCAGAGTTGAAGCAGACACAGGAAGGCCTGTTGATTGCTGAAATCGGGGCAATTCCAGCAGGGAAGAGTCAACCTTGAAATTTTTTTTCCTTTCCAAATAGTCTGGAGCAATCCTGCAGCTCCGAACAGCTGAGGCAGGCCGGCATCGCGTTAAGATTGGTTGTTTCCCCTGTGGGTACCCTAAAGTCCTCAGTACAGGGAGAGCCATCAACAGTATGTTCGCAGCTAGTGAGTTAAAAAGTGAAGGCCTGTATCAAGAACAACACTGCCTACTCCAGCTTCATAGTTTAGCTTCTAAAACCTTGGGGTCAAGACACCGCAGAAACACACCTGTGACCCTAGCACTCAGGCGGCTGAGGCAGGAGTACTGTTGAGAGTTCGAGGTCTGCCTGGATACATAGTGAGACCCTATCTCAAAAAGAAATATAAAATAAAATAAAACCTTAAAGAAAAAAAGAAACTGCAGTGGCTACAGAAGAGACCAGGAAAGTGACCTAAAGAAGCTCAGCCTGCACTTGGTGTCCCACACCTGTCATCCCAGCACTCAGGTGGCTGAGGCAGGAGGATGGAGAGTTCAACTCTAGCCTGGGCTATATAAGCACTGTACAAGAAACAAAACAAGAGATCAGTCTGCTCAGTGCCAATCGCCTGGACAGCACACAAGTCCGTTTTGTCTCCCCAAGATTAAGCTACATAATGAGCCTGGCATAGCAAGACCTTGTCTCACAATTTTCTTTTTCTTTTAATGCTGGGTCTGAGGGGTAGAAGCGGTTTGGGAGTGGACTTTTGTGTCTGGGAAACCAAACCGAGGTACAGATGTCAACCGCTGCTGCTGCTGCGTACTGCCATCATTGTCCAAGCCCAAGCCTGCGGTGCTGCTACCCGCACCCACTGCTGCTGTGACTGCAGCTCTGAGCAACGACCCAGAACTTCCAGAGCTGCCCGAGACAGCGGAAGGGGACGTACTGTCCTCCAGCCAAAACAGCACAGGCTTCCGGGTGGGAGGCCGGTCAGCCTGCAGGAAGTCAGGAATAGAAAAGTGAGTTCCTGTACTTTTTTTTTTTTTCTTTTAAGAGAATAAAGCAAAATGATAAAAAATAAAACAACAATATTCAATTTCAAAAACAAGACAGTAGGAAATCAACCATAGTTACTGTAATGCACATTGTCATCCTCTAAATAAATGCTCAGACCGCCAGACAGAGGCATGCAAGGTCAGTCAAATAGCACAAGCACTAAATTGTTTCTTGACTTCAATTGCATCCTCTCAGAAATTTCAGGTGTGTGGCTTCTAATCTCTATTTCTGTGTCTCCTGGACTTGCTCTGGGTGAAACACAGGTGAGCAGAATTAAACAACATAAGTATGAAGCTGTCTTTTCACTTCAGTGGCAATCATTTCAGAAATTTCAGGTGTGTGGCATCTAGTTTATTTGGTATCTAAGTTCTCTGGACTTGTCCTGTGTGGGCTGGAGTCTGACATCGCACCCTGCCCCCTTCCTCTTGACACTTTGCTGTGTTCCTCTGAATCAGCTGGTTGCTGAGTCCTGGGTGCTCCTGCATTGGTTGCCCGTCTGGCAGTGCAGGGGACTGGGCTGGGCTCCTGGCTTCCTCACATCCGAGGTTCCTGGGGTGACAGAAGTGCCAGGCGGTGGCTCAGCAATGTTCCCCCAACGCTGGCACTCCTTTACTTACGTATTTAGGGACTGGGGATTAAACAAGAGCCTCAACACCTTTTAAATTTTCTTTCCCACCTTCTACATTTTGAGACATGGTCTTTCTAAGTTGCCCAGGCTATGCTCAATCTTGTGATCCTCCTGCCTCAGCCCTTCAAAGCGCCTTGATCACAGGCATGTGCCACCACCACTGCCTGGATCTGGGACTCTTGCCCATTGGGGGACCATAGCTAACAATAACCACTGTGTTTCAGAAAGCTACGAGAGAGGAAAATGAGTGTTCTCACAAGGAAATGACCAATAAGGTGATGGACATACAGTTACCACAAATACATGCACTCCATACACGTGTGTAATTACTATGTGTCAGTTTACAAAGAATCTTGCCAGATGGCACATAGCTGTAATTTCAGCTATTTGGGATGCTGAGGCAAAAGGCTCACATATTCAAGGGCTGCATAGAAAACTTAGGAAAATTTTTGAAATAAATGAGTAGATAAATAAAGGCTGGGGATGTGACTCAGTGGTAGAGCGCTTGCCCAGCCTGTGCCTCCCAAGGCACCTAAGACACCTCAGGGAAGCCAGACCTCAAGGGAGTCTGGGAAAATGGTTTGCAGGCATCAGGCCTCCCTGGAACTGAGAACAATGGTAAAAAGTACTGGTAACCCAGCAGCTTCTCAGGAGCCCTGTTTCTTTTGACATGAGTTATTTATAGTGGGACAGGCAAGAATTTTTTAAGTCTTTTTCGTTTTTATCGGTACCGGGGATCAAACTCACGACTACCTGCTTGCAAGGCAGGCGCTTATGCCGCTGAGCTAAATCCCCAGCCCCTCAGGCAAGAATTTTTATAGGAACTTTTTTTATTTTAAAAAAAGATTAAAATAAAAGGACATAACAAAGTTCAGAACAGAACAATTTAAGCAACATAGTGTTTCACCACAAGACAACCTGACATAACAGTAGCTACCAGAGTGTCTCTATCCTTGAAATATTTGAGTATACCTTCATATACTATAGTATCTAATATAACAAGACAGTGTAAAACCATTCAAAAGAACGAAAGTATTACAGGGTATTCAGAACCAACTAACAGAAAACAAACAATGGTTTTACTATATTATCTCCTTGTCTATAAAAAATTTTGTGTATCCTATCACATATAATAAAATCCAATAAGATACAACATGATAAAACTGATGGAGACAGAAGAAGACAAAAGCTTGATGGGACTTCAAAACAAGATGATATTAAATCAGCACTAGCTATTATGATGTCTTGTTTTCTTCAAAATAACTGTTCATACCATCACAGACAATAAAATCAAACAACCCAGAATAAAACTATTCCAACTAATGAATGAAAACATTATAAGGCTTCAAAGCGATATAATGGGGAATCATGATTACCACATACTTTTATGTGTTCTTGCCATTTCTTACACTAGGGAAACTATTCGGTATTTATACATGTGAGTTTGATTTATTTCGCTTATGAGTATGGTCTCCAGTTGCATCCATTTATTTATAAATATCTCAATGTGATCATTCTTTATAGCTGAGTAGTACTCCATTGTATAAAAATACATCTTTTTTATCCATTCCTCAGTTGATGGCACTTAGGTTGTTTCCAAGATCTGGCTATTACAAATTGTGCTGCTATAAACATGGGTGCAGATATATCACTGTGGTATGTTTTCAGTTCTTCTGGGAATATGCCTAGAAGTGGAATAGCTGGAACAAATGGGACTTCCAATCCCAGCTTTTTGAGAAATCTCCAGACTGACCTCCATTTTTATAGGAATTTTTATAGGAACTTTTTTCCCTGAAGAGCTGGGTATTGAACCCAGGGTCTTTGCACTTGCTAGGAAAGCTCTTTACCACTGAGCTACAGCCTCAGCCCAGCAGGGACATTTAAAATAAGGTAGAATAAAATTTGAGACAATGTATTTTGATGATTAGGGATTTATACTTTCTGAAATTCTGTAAAAACTATAAATAGCTATTAACTATAGCATATCATCAACTTGTTTTTTTACCTGAAAAACATCCTGATATATATATTTTTTGGTTTTTGTTTCTTGGGTTTTTTTTTGTTGTTGTTGTTGTCTTTTTGAGACAAGGTCTCACCATACAGTTCAAGCTGGCCTCGAGCTCACTTTGTAGCCCAGGCTGGTCTCAAACTTGTATTGGCCTCCTGATTGCTTAGATTATAGGCATGTACCACCATGTCTGACTTGCTACTTTTTCTCTCTTTTTTTAATAATTTAATTTAATTTAATTTAACTTTTTAAAAAGCAAAACAGAAAAAAGGATAGAAATAATACAAAATTTCAAAAAAAAACAGTAAGAAATCAACACTAATATATTACATATTGTCTTAGAAGTAGCTGTTCAAATTACAAAATCTAGGCATAAAAAATGAACAGACAACCAAACCATGACAGCACCAACTATTCTTTTGGATGAGCTAACAGAGAATTAGTAGTATGGTTATCTATCTTGCACACTTAAACATACATACAGTTAGTTGTATGTGTATACCTGTAAGTTGTTCTTTCCTTTTGAGCACTTTCCCTTTCATTTTTACAGTATCTTTGTACGTTTGAGATCTTATTACTCTTTCAGTTTTTTCTTTTTATTACTTATTTATTTCAGTACTGGGGATTGAATTCACAACCTCATGTTTGCCAGGCAGGCGCTTATGCTGTAGAGCTAAATCCCTAGCCCCAGTTTTTTATTAGTATTATTTACTTTTTATACTAGAGAAACAATCCAATATTTACAAATGTGAGTCTGGTTTATTTCACTTATGAGAATAGTATTAAGTTGCCTCCATTTAGCTATAAATGCCTCAAGATCGTCCTTTTTATAGCCAAGTAATATTCCATTATATAAAAATACCACACCTTTGGGGCTAGGGGTTTAGCTCAGCGGCATAAGCCCCTGCCTTGCAAGCAGGCGGTCGTGAGTTCAATCCCCAGTACCAATAAAAATGAAAAAGACAAAAAAAAAAAGTACCACACCTTTTATTTATTTATTTTTTATTGGTACCGGGGATCAAACTCACGACTGCCTGCTTGCAAGGCAGGTGCTTGTGCCACTGAGCTAAATCCCCAGCCCCTGCACTTTTTTCATCCATTCTGCAGTTAATGGGTATTTTGGTTGTTTCCAAGGTTTAGCTATTACAAATTGCACTGCTATTAATATGGGTGCACATATATTACTGTGACATGATCTTTTCTTTTCTTTTTTCTTTTTTTTTTTGGAAAAATAGAGGAATAGCTGGGTTGAATGGAACTTCCAGTCCTAGTTTTTTCAGGAATCTCCATACTGATTTCCACAGTGGCTGCAACAGTCTGCACTCCCACCAATAATGGAGAAGAGTTACTGTTTCTTCACAGCCTCACCAACATTTGTTATCATTGATTTCTTGATGGCAGCCATTCTGGAGTGAGGTGAAATCTCAGTGCTCTTTTAATTTGCATTTCTGGAATGACCAGTGATGGTGAAGATACTTTTTTTTTTTTTTTTTTTTTTTTTTTTGTAACAGGGTTGAAACAATTTTGAGTTCAGGCTGCCATTGAACTCACTATGTAGCCTAGGCTGGCCTCAAACTCACAGTGATCCTCCTGCCTCAGCCTCTCAAATTATAGGCATATGCCAGCATACCCAGTTTAACATTCAGATACTCTTACATGCAATTGTGTCTTAGAAGAAAATGTAGTTTAATTTCAGCTTTTTCAATTTTGTTTTGGTTTGTTGTTGGAGATAGGGCTCTCACTATGTAGTTCAAACTGACCTTGAACTCACTTTGAAGCCCAGCCTGGCCTCAGACTAGTGGCAATCCTCCTGCCACAATCTCCCAAATGCTGGGATTACAGGCATGTGCCCCCACACCCAGCTCAAATTTTTTTTAAATTTTTTTTTTATTTAAGGAGAAAAGAAAAAAAAAAGTGAAAGGGTACAAGTTATACAGATTTACAGAAGATAAAATGAACAGTAGGAAATCACTAGTTAATGGATTACATATTGCCATCTTAAAAATAATTGTTCAAGTCACAAGATTAAAGCTTGTAGAGTGGACATTCCAACAATGATACTGCAAACATTTCTGTTCAATGATCCAATAAAACTCTGTGATATCATTTTCTATCTTATACACTTAAATATACATGCAGTTATATATTTAGAGCACTTTCTTTTCCTCTCTTTTGTACAATGACTATTACACATTTTGGGTTTCATTGCTCCCACGGTTCTCCAGCTCGAATTTTTAATAGTAGACAAATTATGTTTGTCTAGAAGATTTTCCTACAAAACTCTCCAAAATTCTGTTTGGCAGAACTCAACATGAAAATACAGATTTTTAAGGAAACTTTCTAAGCAGCCTCCTATACTCTTTTAGGGTAACACCACTGGCTGTCGTGAATAGCACTACTATGATCGTGGGAGTGGAAGACCCTGCTTCAGTTCTTCTGGTTGGATAACCAGAAGCAGAACTGCTGTCACACACCGAAAACTGACTTCTCATTTTAAAGGAGCAGTGATACTGTTTTTCTGTGGCAACTGCATAATTTTAGTGTCAATAGCACAAATCACTCTAGTTCCTTCATATCCTTGACAAAATTTGTTTCGTTTTATTTTTTAAGAGGATATGCTAATGGGCTCAAGGTAATAGCTCCGATGGCTTTGGTTTAAATATTTTAAATTTGACAAAGCCTAGTGTCTTAGCTACTTTCTCATTGCTGAGTCATAACACCTGACACCCATAATTAAAGGAGGAAAGGTTCATTTTTAGCTCACAGTTTGTAGAGGTTTGTAGAGGTTTGTAGAGGCAGGGTAATGTGGCAGAGGGGCCTCACAGAGAAGAAACAGCCCATGGCACAGCAGCGGAGGAGGCGGGCATGTAGCAAGCCACAGCTGCCTTTCTTCCCATGTTTATTCCATTGAGGCTACAGGCCTGTTGACTGGTGCCACCCATGTCCAAGGTGGGGCTATTTCTACAAGAAAAATAAAAGAAATTTTTTTAGGAAGGATCCTGGGCCAGGATCAGCTCAGTGGCATAAGCGGTCTGACTGACAAATGTGGAGTCATAAGTTCAAACCCCAGAACCAAAAAAAAAAAAAAAAAAAAGTGTCCTAAATGCAAGAAAGTCAACCATGAGCAGTTGATGGGTAAAGCTCATCTGTTGCTACTTTGGAGCTCCCGTACACGCCTTGGCATTTGTCTGCCAAGATTTGTTCCCAGGCACAGCTACTGTGAGCCACACCTGGATTCTTCATGGCAGATTAGACATTTGCAGAACACAGGAGCGGTGTAGGTGATCCCAAGGATACATACACAAAATGCTAAACTGGTAAAAATCTTGATGTGACACTTTTGCACAGGTGCACACACCTTGCTGTTTGGCGTACAAAGTGGACGAGAGAACACAAAGATCATTTCCTGTGTCCCTCGGGTAAAGTGACTCGGATGCACATTCGGCTACCATGATGCTAACACTCATCATTTCATTAGAAAAATATGGAATGGGCCATGGGAACCCGCAGTAATACCTCAAGGGTTTGACTTCCATTTCCTGCAGAGTCCTAGGACACAGGAAAAATGTAAATAAATTTTCTGCCATCGCATAACACATGTGACTTGGAGTCTGACTGCCAGTTCCCACCTGAAGCCTCCTGAGCCTGGGCCTCACTATCTGCATCCCTGTGAGCATGCTGGTCTTCTGAGATCCGACCAGGACCATCCAGCAGGCTGACTTACCTCATTCTAGGGGTTTTTTCTCCAGCAGGCATCCCCAGACCTTTTCAAACACATCTTAAGAACCAGTTCCAAAAGCTTCTAAACCACATGGTCAGGTGATCACAGCTCTATACTCCAGTACCAAAATGTGTCTTAGTCGCTTTTCTTGTTGCTGGGACCCAATACCAGACACCCACAGCTTAGAAGAGGAGAGGTTTCTTTTGACTCACATTTCTGTCCATGGCTGGCTTGCTCCAAGCAGACGTGCTGGTGGAGGAGAGCTGCTCATGGCAAACAGGAAGCAGAGAGAGGCCAAGGGCGGGACTAGGAAGGGCGACACCATACACCTTCAAGGCTACATCTGTGTGCAGTGACCTGACTCCCTCATTATAGCAAATCAGCTGTAAGCTCCCAGAATCCAATCACCTTTCAAAAGCCCCACTTTTGAGCTCACAAGGCTTTGAGGAAGACATCCAGATATAAACCATAACAACAGTAAAAAGTCTGATAGCCTCCTTTTGTTACACACACCTGTAATTTCAGCATTCTGGAAGCTGAGGCAGGAGGATCATGAGTTTGAGGCCAGCTTTGGCTACATGAAAAGTTTAAGACCAGCCTGGACTACATAGTGAGACACTGTCCCAAAACTGCCCCCTCCATCTCAACTGTGTGCTTGCCAATGAATAATAAATAAATCTGTCACCAGTTGAAACTTATGGTTAATAACACATAAGAATTCTTTCAAAAACAGAATATATGTAAAGCAGTATTAAAATCTGAGCAAGTGTTCCATATCTGCTTTAATAAATGGTTATTAGTATTATTATTACTACTATGATTATTAAAAAACAGCCAGGCATGGTGGTACCTGTAATCCCCACATTCAGGAAGCTGAGGCAAGAAGATCACTGGAATTTCAAAGTTAGCCTTAACTAAGTAGTGAGGCTCTGCCTCAAAAAAGCAAAACAAAACAAAACTCCATCTCCTCAAAAAAAAAAGAAAAAAGAAAAGATGCCCCCTTTTGTTTTTAGCGCTGAGGATCCAGCTCGCCCAGGACCTCACGCATCCTTGGCAAGCACACCGAGCACACTGCCGCTGAGCCACACTCCGAGGCCCGAGGTCATCACTGACTCTTTCTCTACCGCACAGATCCAACCCGTCAGCAAAACCCAGTTGTGGATTCCTTCAAAATACTCACAGACGTGGGCCACTGTTTGCCATCACTCACAAGGCACTGCTGCACAGTCTCCTCGCTGGTTTCTGTTCCACCTGTGCTTTCCACACCACCATTCTGAAGTTGCCTAGGCCAGCTCAGCATCCTGCCAGCACCTGTGCTCCGTGACCCAGCCCCAAGCGCCCTCTGTGACCCAAGGACTTCAGTCCCCCTGACTCACCCCTACTGGTCTTCTCGATATTGCTTGAACTTACTGAGAAAATTCTTGCTGAGAACCTCAGCACCTGCTCTCTCCTCTGGCTGGAATCTCCCTCCATGGCAGACAGAATACTAAAGTGACCCTGAGACTTCTGTCTCTCGTTGTCCACACACTTGTGTCTTCTCGTTGTGTTTCAGTGCATCTTGTTTCCTACCAAATGGACAAATGTGGCCGAAGTGGGGCAGCCCCGCCCATGGATGTCCTACACAGCGGGGCAGAGGTGGAGGGCTTTGCAGATGTAACGAGAGCCCCTCCTTACTGTGATTTTGGGTTGAGGGGCCTGCCCTAATCCTGAGAACCCCCTAAAGGAAGACTTCAGCCTCGCTGCTGCTCAGAGGACACTCTGCCCTGCTGGCCCTGGAGAAACAGTTGCTGGGTTTTCTATAGCTGCAAGGAACTGAATTCTGCCCACAATCACAGGACTCCAGAGAGGAACTCAGCCTGGCTAACACAGACTGCGGCAGTGGGACTCTGAGCAGAGGAAAGGGTAACAAATAAATAGGTGTTGTTTTAAGACGCTACGTTTGTGGTCCTTTGCCAGACAGTTATAGAAAACAAATGCTCCCTTCACAAGGAGTCTGTACTGACCATCCTGAGTAATTACAGCTGCCCCACCCCCACCCCCCCACCCCCGCAGTAGTTACGACTGTGCTGCAGTGGTGTGCGCATGTGCACGCATGTGCACTGAGGATCAAGCCCAGGGTCTTTGTGCTCTTCCTCTTAGCCATGCACCATCACCTTTATCGTATTTATTGTTATTTAAGTGTTTGTGCTTTGTCTTTGTTTCCTGTGCTTGCCTTTCGTGACTATTACAGAACTGCTGAGATAATCAACTTATTTTTTCAAGATAATTAACTTATCAAAATAAAAGGTGTTTTGGCTTGAGGTTTCAGGGTGTCAGAAGTTGCAACGCACAGTTGGTTGGCTCTGTGGCCTACGCACCTCAACACGTAGCAGAATCGCTCAGCTCGTGGTTAGGAAGCAAAGGTAAAGCAGAGAAGGCTGGTGTTCTGTGAGCATCATCAAGGCCGCTCTCCAGGGACCTGAAGACCTCCCTCGAGGTCCCATTGTTCGAAGCTGCCACTTCCCAGGAATGTCTCCTGGAGATCGAGTATCTAATACAGGGGTCTTTAGGGCCCCTCAGGGTCCAGACTATTGCACTAGCCCACCGGGATGTGTGTGTGGCTTCACTCTCTCCTCCTCCTCTGCAACATAAGCACCATGAAGCCAGGAATGGAACATAGAGCCTTGGGTGCTGGAACTGTGCAGGTCAAGGGAACGCTCTGCTGCCGAGCTGCAGCCACAGTGGAAGGCAGGCAAAATGTCTGCTTTGCTGCCTGGTATCCTTGAGAATCTGCAAGGGGACTCGTCTTCCAGATGAAGGCAGTCAGCTCCAACGGGCCCAGACATCATGGTAATTTACAAGTGTGTGTTCACTTAGGTGAGGTCACTGTGCCTCACAGGCGGGTGGAGGACGGCTGCTGGGGCCCAGCTTTGGATGGCTTCAAACCGGGAATGCCTTGAGTTCAGCTGGCTGAGAATCAAAAGATCGGCCACAGCTTCGTAATCCAGGTCAGCTTGACCAGCTCGTTGGAGACTCAGGGACAGTGATGCTGCTCAGGCAGCGATCTGGGAGCTGCCTGGCTTCAGTACCTCCTTGAAGAGAGAGAGCACCAAGACGGGAGAGCCTGGCACGGTCCCACTCTCCTGTCCCAGGGCACAGGGGCTAGACAGGGAATCCAGCTTTGGCCATCTGGCCTCTGACGCATGCTCTCATTTCTTCCTTGCTGCTACATGTCAGTTCCCAGGTACAGTCCCTACGGAAGGGAGGGGCTAATGGGTGGAGAGAGGGAGAATTAGCACCAGACCTCGGCTGACCCAAGGCTCCTTCAAATGGGTTCTGCATTTGGGCCCAAATGGTTCAGCCACTGACCATAGCCACCTAGGAAGGATGTGTCCCTGGGCCAGGCCACCTATGGACCACACTGAGAGCAGCTGAGGGGCAGGTACTTTCTCAGAGGAGCCTGGGCAGTGCCTTTTCTTTCTTGTGCACAGCTCTGACCAGCACCCCTTCCATGAAAAATAAATTATTTTCAATCAAGTACAGTGGCATGTACTTGTAATCTGAGCACTTTGAAGGCTGAGGCAGGAGGATCATCTTGAGTTTGAGGCCAGCCTGGGCTATGTAATGAGTTCAAGACAAGCCTAAACTGCATAGCAAGACCCTGTTTCAAAAAGATGAAAAAAATTATCATTTTGAGATAAGCTTAAAATGCAAGATAAGCTCTCAAAAGGTTTTCTGCTGGTGGTGATTGGTGATGGATCTCACACATACTACACAAGCACTCTACCACTAAGCTACACACTGGCCCTTTATACTGAGTTTTGAGACAGGGTCTAAGTTGCTTACATGGCCTCCTGTTTCCACCTCTCAAGTAGCTGAGATGGTAGGCTTGTGCCACTACACTCAGCTAAGTTTTTTTAAATGCATAAAACAAAAGACATGTTCAATCCTCAGCACCTTCCAACAGACACTGAATCACAAAAGTTAAAAAAAAGTGTTGGTGGGAAAGTGGTGTTTTTTTGTTTGTTTGTTTGTTTTTGTCTTTTTTCCTTTTTATCGGTACCGGGGATCGAACTCATGACTGCCTGCTTGCAAGGCAGGTGCTTATGCTGCTGAACTAAATCCCCAGCCCCAGGAAAGTGTTTTTTGAAATTTAGGCTTAGGAAACAGACAACTTCCTAATAAAAAGGGCAAAGATTTTTATGTGTTGTGGGCCAAAGGATCCCCGGATGAGTTTGGGGGAGTCCAGCTAGAGTCACTTCCTGCATGGAGGGTCCTCTGGGCCCCAGCTGTCCAACCTGCCCACTCTGCCACCCTTCCTGAGGTGTTGGAATCCTGGAAAAATAGCCCTGGGTTGGTGCTACCTGCACCACCAACTCTCAGGCCCCAGCCCAGTGACCTAGACTACCCCAGCCTGCTCCTTACCCAGTCTATTAGTCACCATGATGACCTAGACCCTGGCCTGCGCCCTGCAAATGAGTGGGCCCGCCGTGAGGCCAGGTCCTGACCCACAGCGACCTGCTGTGACCATTCATTCGGCCGCCCTCTTAGACAGTGCTTAGCCGCCCTCAGGGTCCAACATAAAAGGCCAGGCCTGGGATGGCCACTAGCTGCGGATCCTGACCCAGGAGCTCTCACCATGGCCGGCCCCAGCCTCGCCTGCTGCCTGCTCGGCCTCCTGGCGCTGACCTCTGCCTGCTACATCCAGAACTGTCCCCTGGGCGGCAAGAGGGCCGCGCTGGACCTCGATGTGCGCAAGGTGAGCGAGCACCCCGATGCAGGGACTGGGAGGGACCCCACACGCAGGCTACCGGGCGCTGCGCGGTCCGGGAACCCCAAGGTGTGCAGACCAGATTCCGCCCTATACGCTGGCGAGGCCGAGTCAGCGCCCGGCCACCGCGCCCCTCGGGCCCGCGGCAGGCCCTGCTCAAACCCCGCCGGCCCGCGTCCCCGGCCGGCCCCTCACGCCCGCGTCCCCGCAGTGCCTCCCCTGCGGCCCCGGGGGCCAAGGGCGCTGCTTCGGGCCCAGCATCTGCTGCGCCGACGCGCTGGGCTGCTTCGTGGGCACGGCCGAGGCGCTGCGCTGCCAGGAGGAGAACTACCTTCCGTCGCCCTGCCAGTCCGGCCAGAAGCCCTGCGGCAGCGGGGGGCGCTGCGCCGCCAACGGCGTCTGCTGCAACGATGGTGCGCACCGGGAGGGGGCGCGGAGGTGCGGGTGGGGGGTGCAGTCTGGGGGGCCGGCGGGCGCCCCTGACCCGCGTCTCCCTGCAGACGGCTGCCGCATCGACCCTGCCTGCGACTCTGAGGCCGCCTTCGCCGAGCGCTGAGCCCGGACGGCCCGGCCGCCCCGGAGCACAGACTGCGGCCTGCCCCGGCCGCCGCACTCCGACCCCAGCATCGCGAACCTGAAATAAAGCAGATTCCCTTCCACCTCGACTGGCGTGTGTGTTACAACCGGGAGGGGCGGCGGGGAGTGGAAGGTCTCCCTGCTGGGCCTGCATCCAGCTGCAGGCTGGTGGCGATTCAGAGCGGCAGCGCCCCAGCACGGGGTCAGAGGGACGCGGCCCGGGGTGGCTCAGGGCAGGGCGAGCGCGGGGCCCAGTGGCCTCCTGGCCACGAGAGGAAGGCGCGCAGCTGAAGGGCTGTGGCGTTTCAAAGAGTTGGACCCTCCGCCCAGGGGTCCCCAGGAGGTCTGCTGGGGTGGGTCCTGAGCACTCAGGGGACTCCCTCTGTGACCTGGGTATGACAAGGCCTGTCAGAGCAGGCACCCCCAAGAGGACAGGGATACCAGAGACCCCTTGGCCACAGAGACTACGACAAAATACAAAGGGCAGCAGAAATGGTTGCTCAGCCTGTACCGCTCATCTCCTGGATCACAGGCGCTGGGGAATCAGGTAACAGCCTGGGCCTTCTGTCCTTGCCCTGGGCACCGACTTGGAGAAGATTCTTGCCCGCACCCCACCCAAAACAGAACAGATACAGGGTGTCCATTGTTAAAAAGAACACACCCGGATCAGGCACACACCTGTAATCCCAGAACTCAGGAGGCTGAGGCAGGAAGATTCTGTGAGTTCAAGGGCAGCTGGGCTACAGAGTGAGTTTAAGGCCAGTTTGAGCTGCAGAGTGAAACTCTCAAAAAACTCAAAACGCCTGGTGGGGCATGTGGCTCAACAGGACAGTGTTTACCCCCTAGAATCTGGGTTCCAGCTCCACCACCACAACTAAATGGATAAAACCTACCTTTCTGCAGCTTCCTCACCTCACAGTTATGAGAAGCAGTGAGAATGAACTCAGCTGTCCCCCACCCCCAGCAGTGTGCGGGGCTCACAGACAAGAGGGAGACAAAACTTATTATTAAAAAGAATCAGAAACTGGGCATGGGGGTACATGCCTGTAGGTGTAGGCTGAGGCAGGAGGGTGGCAAGTTCATGTCCAACATGGGCAACTCAGCAACTCAGGAAGACCCTGCTTTTAATATTTTAGAATGTGAAGAAATGTGGGAGCATAGCTCAGTGCAAAGGCCCTGGGCTCACTCCCCAGTACCACAATATAAATAAATAAGTAGAACTGATTTTGGATTTTTCTGGGGAAGGCTGGGAATTGAAGTTTTTGTTGGTTTGGCTTTTTTGTTTTATTTTGCAATACAAGAATTGAACCCAGGAAGTACCAAACTAAACCTCCAGCCCTTCCCTTTAAAATGTTATTTTATTAGCACATATTTGCAGTACACAACATATCCAATCATCTTGGGGAGGTACACATACATAATATAGCTTTTTTTTTTTTTTTTTGTATGGGGCATTGAACTCACAACTTTGCACTTGCCAGGCAGGTGTTTACCGTACCGAGCTAAATCCCCGGCCCAAACTTGCTTCATTTTAATGCCCTTCCTTTTTAAAAAAAATTATTAGGGCTGGGGATTTAGCTCAGCGGCATAAGCACCTGCCTTGCAAACAGGCGGTAGTGAGTTCAATCCCCGGTACCAATAAAAAAAAAAAAATTATTAAGAGACAGTCTCGGGGCTGGGGATATAGCTCAGCGGCATAAGCGCCTGCCTTGCAAGCAGGCAGTCATGAGTTCGATTCCTGGTACCAATAAAAATGAGAAAGCCAAAAAAAAAAGATACAAGAGACAGTCTCTTACCAAGTTGCCCAGGCTGGCCTCAAGTTTGAAATCCTCCTGCCTCAGCTCCCAGTAGCTAGAATTACAGCAGTGCACCAAGATTTTCTCTACATTAATTACAAAAATAAGCAAAATTACTCTAAGATGTCAAAGGTATTGGCTGGTGCAGCAGCTAGAAGGAATGTTGAGAGGGTTCTGGTCATATTTTTGTGGGTTTCATTTTGCTTTGCTTTGTTTCATTTTGTGTTGTTTGTGATACGGGAGATTAAGCGCTAGGCCTTTGCACTAAGGTATGTTCCAAGCCCCTTGATTGATTGACTGATTGAAGATAGGTTCTCATTAAGCTGCTACATTGAACCTGCAATCCTCCTGCCTCAGCCTTAAAATTTTGTTTCTTGGTAGCTGATGGAACAGATGTATTTATAAAAATTCATTATGCTGTAAACATGTTTATTTTATTTTTGTCTATACATTATACTTGGATAAACATTTTTTGTGCATGAAAAAAACATGTCATTACCAAAGAGGTTTGAGAGAGAACAGAGACAGGACTTTAGGAAACAATTATCCCTCTGCTGATCATGCATCATGGAAGGAGAGAAAATTTATTTTGGCTCATGGTCGTTATTGGTTTCAATCCAGTACTGCCAAAGGAGAAAAGAAAAAGAAAAATACATATAATGACCATGAACCCATATATATCTACCAATGTGCTTGAAAAGACACTAAGCAAAGGAATAGAACAGTGAGAAACACACACTGTGTGTGTGTGTGTGTGTGTGTGTGTGTGTGTGTGTGTGTGGTGAGACTCAGGTACCTTCTCATGTGTGCTAAGTGTGTGCTCTGTCCCTGGGGTACAGCCCAAGGCTTCCCAGCAATCTCTCGGGAGAGTTTCAATGCCCCCTCAAAGCGATCCAGCAGAACAAGCAAGATTACAGGAGAACTCAGTGACGCCACCAGTACCTTGGAACTAGCAGATGTCTAGCAAATGCAACACGCATCGTCACACAAGCAATTAGAAAACATGACCTGAGGGAGTCCACATGAAATATTCACAAAACACCTACCGTATACTTCCCACAAGAGAAAACTATTTTTAATGAGTCAATATTATACAGATCATGTTCTCTGACCTCAGTGCATAAAATTAAAGCTAACAAAAAAAGTCTCCATGTGTCTGCACTCTAAACACATATTACCGCTAACCCTCGGGTTAGCACAGTGATCATGACAAAATACTTAAGCTGAGGAAGGTAAAGCCTAAGGTCAAAGAAGGGAGGCTGTGGCGCCAGGCAAATAACAGAAAACAAGAGTTTCTTCTTTTTCTTTTGTGCTGGGGATTGAACCCGGGGTCTTCTCAGTGCCAGTGCTCTATCACTGAGCTATGTCCCCAGGCTGTTTTATTTTAATGAGCCAAATAGTGAACTTTAGATCTGAGAAATATCAACACAGAAAACCCAAAAATATATGAAGGGAAAAAAGAAATAATAAAGGACAGAGATCAGAGCACTTGCCTGGGTGTGAGGCGCTGGGTTTGATCCCCAGCACCAAAAAAACTACATTCACAAAAACCACAAACAAAAAATCAACAGCGAATGAAACAAAAAAGAATTTTATAGCCAGGAGCGGTGGCACATACTTCTAATCTGATACGTGACTGAGACAGGAGAATCACAAGATTGAGCCTGGCCTTCACAATTCAGCAATTTAATGAGATTTTTGTTTCAAAAACAAAAACAAACATACTGGGGATGTATTTCAGTTTGAAGGGCATGTGCTCAGAACTGAAAGAACAACAATAAAAAAGAAAGCTATTTATAGGAAACAACTATTAGGGCAATAAAGAAAATCAGGGCAATAAACTCGTCTTTGTAGCATGGCTTGTGTCTAGGTGTCCCCCAAAGCCTCATGCGGTCACAGGTGGGGCTTTTTCAGAAGTGGCTGAATCTAGTGTGTGGCACTCGAATAGTGCTAGGATCAAGGGTGTGAGTGCTGCCTGCCCTGAGTAGCCTGGATAAAATAAAAAGGGCAGAAGCTGATTCTCAGACAAAGGAATAATATCTAAAGTACACAAAGAACTCAAAAAATCTGCCCCCCAAACTTAAAACACTCAGTCCAAAAATAGACATCTGAAATGAACAGATGCTTCTCAGATGATGAAGCAGAAAGAGCAAATATATGAAAAAATGTTCAATAGCACTGGTCATTCGAGAGATGCAAATTAAAACAACACTGAGATTCCATCTTACTCCAGAAAAAATAGCTATTATCAAGAAATCAGCCAATAACAAATGCTGGCAGGGCTGTGGGGAAAAGGGAACCCACTCCCACTGTTGGTGGGAGTGTAGACTGGGACAACACTGGAAATCAGTGCGGAGATTCCTCAAAACAACTAAGACTAGAGATTCCCTTTAACCCAGTTATTCCCCTTACTGGTATTTTCCTGAAAAAATTAAAAGCATCATACCACAGCGATACAGACATACCCATGTTTATATCAGCACAGTGTGTAATAGCTATATCTTGAAAACAGCTCAGCTGTCCACCAACCAATGAATAAATAAAGAAGATGTGGTTTCTTTTTCTTTTCTTTCTTTTTTTTTTAATACGATGGAGAACTATTCTGCCATAACGAAGGATAAACTCTAGACATTTCTGGCCAAATGGATGCACTTTGAGACCGTATTTTTCTTCTTCTTCTTCTTCTTCTTCTTTTTTTTTTTTTTTTTTTTTTTTGTCTTTTTTGTTTTTATCGGTACCGGGGATCGAACTCATGGCTACCTGCTTGCAAGGCAGGCATTATGCCACTGAGCTAAATCCCCAGCCCCTGAGACCATATTCTTAAGTAAAATAAACCTCATACACATGTAAATACATTGTTTCTCCGGTGTGAGCAACCAAAAGTGTAAATAGGGACAAAATGTATAGCAAATATTATCAAGTAGGAAGAAAACGCTCAGGTGGAAGTAGAACTTAGGGAGGGGGACAGGGAAAGAAAGGAAGGGAAAAGAAATCAAGGAGAAATATATACAAGCTTTTGTAAGTGAGGACAGGAAACGGTACTGAAAGGAGGATAAAAGAACTGGGGGTGGCATTCAGATAAATCACATACAGGTACAAAGGGGGAGGGGCAACAGATCCCTGCTAGGCCTGGTCCCGCCCCAGAACTACCCCTTCCTCCCACAGCTCAGGGGGCCACCGGGAAGAGTCCGGAAGCCAGAGCCCAGGGGAGCCGGCATCCCAACAGCGTCTGCGGAGGGTGAGCGTGAGGGTCAGGCTGAGATGAGGGCGAGGGTGAGGTGTCTTGGTAACTTTTTTCTCGTTGCTGGGATAGAACACCCAAAACTAAAGAAGGAAAGGTTTGTTTAGCTCACAGTTTGAGGAGGTCTCAGTCCCTAATCAGCTGGCTCCAAGGGAGAGTGGCACATGGCATAGGGGCAGTGGTTCAAAGCCACAGAAACAAAAGCAAAAGTGGGGAAGAAGCCTCATTGCCCCCTTATATTATATGCAGTCCACCTCAGTGCCCCCAGAGTGGGTGCAGTGCTCCTGAAATCTCTGCCCTCCTTTAGCACAGGATGAGGATGTTTACAAAGTAAGGATCCTGGCTCCCCTGGCTGAGTCTAACTTCTCAAATTGACACAATGTATCAACCCTAACTGTGGCTGAGGCTGAGGCCGAGGCTGAGCTGCAGGACCCAGCACAGATTCGCTGGCACCTGAGGGCAGGCCTCTGCCCTGGCCGGTGCTGGTGAACAGAGCTGCTCCATTCGTCTGTTCTGCTGCAGGCCTGGGATGGACACTCAGGTCGAGGTGCCTCTGGTCTGCTTCCTGGCAGTAAGGATCTGTAAGACCTGAACCAGAAGAGCCCAGGAGAGGACCCCAAGCGCAGGGGGCCCAGAGAAAAGACTGAGAATGCCAAGGGCTTGGGGGATAAGGGACTGGGAAAGTGGAGTGATCAGGGAAGAAGCTCGAGGGTCGAGGAACTGCTAGGGCAGAGCAGAGAGAAGACGTGAGGGGACAGAGAGGACCGTGCAGGCTGAGGGTGACTTGATGTAGAGGCCAAGTACTGGTGACATCTTTGCCTGGAAGTTGCACTCTCAAAGGGTGAGAGGTCCTGGCGAGCCTCTTCCCTGGCTTTATGTAAGATTCCCCTGATCCTGCGCTTTCGCTGGAGAAACTGCCCCTTCTCTGGGACAGATCTGCCCCAGACCCGGGTGCAAAACTGACCAAGCCAGGGTTGGGTGACCCCCCACCTTCCCCGGCCCTGAAGCAGAGACACAGACGCTGGGTGCTTTTGCAGAGGTTTATTGTCCAAGTTGCGGGTTCAGGGTTCTGGGGTCGGGGCTTAGTAGCCGCCGGGCGCGGCGGGCTGGGGCTCGGGCGCCCCTGCCAGCTGCATCAGGCGGAGAAGCAGCGCCCCCGCGGGGCCGTCCAGCTGCGTGACGTTGCTCCGGTCGCCGGCACGGACGGGGCGGTGGAACTCCTCTCGGCACTCGGGCTCGATCACGCAGCTCTCTGCGGGAAGGGGCGAATGAGCACGGGCGCCCGGGGAGGCGCAGCCCGGGGAAGGGAAGACCTCGCCCGCCGGCCCCCCAGACTGCACCCCCCACCCGCACCTCCGCGCCCCCTCCCGGTGCGCACCATCGTTGCAGCAGACGCCGTTGGCGGCGCAGCGCCCCCCGCTGCCGCAGGGCTTCTGGCCGGACTGGCAGGGCGACGGAAGGTAGTTCTCCTCCTGGCAGCGCAGCGCCTCGGCCGTGCCCACGAAGCAGCCCAGCGCGTCGGCGCAGCAGATGCTGGGCCCGAAGCAGCGCCCTTGGCCCCCGGGGCCGCAGGGGAGGCACTGCGGGGACGCGGGCGTGAGGGGCCGGCCGGGGACGCGGGCCGGCGGGGTTTGAGCAGGGGCTGCCGCGGGCCCGAGGGGCACAGGCGGAATGGACATCTACCACGTTCCCTGGCTTTCAGGTGACTGAGGACCAGCCACTCTCAGTACAACGCCAAACATCCTCACCTTCCGTTAGGGGACAGGTGTCCCGTGAGCTCCAGCATTGGGACACCTCCTTACAGCAAGGGGGTCAGGAGGTAGTACCTAAGTGCACCCTCCCTCCTATGCCTCCCCATTCTAGACTAGCTCCCCACCGATACCCCACACATTGCAGAGGGAGCTTGTCCCAGGCCAAACACACCCGGCCCTTGTTCCCTTGCTCTCCACTCCAAGTTGGGGGGTGTCATCCGGGGCCCTGACCCCCTCTTCACCCATTCATGGCCTACCAGGCGGGTAGCAGGAGCCTGCACTCAATGGTGGCCAAGTGGACGGAAGGCGGCTGTGGGGGCCGCCACCTGCCTGTTCCCTTGTTCAGCAGCTCAAAGCTGAGCCGCCATGGCCGGGGCAGAACTGCACATCAGAGCTGCAGCACAAGGAATGGGGCCAAGCACCCATCGGATCTTCCTTATGGGATGTGGACAGCAAAGGCCACTCCATGGGAGGCACCTGTGGCAGACAGCTGGGACTGTGCATGGGGCTGCAGTACTCGGTCTGGACGGAGGACTCCAGGCATGGAGGAGGCCTCACCAACCGGTTCTGCCCAATCCAGTCCCAAGCCTGAGTACCACAGAGGTTCCCTCACTTTACGGCATCCCCTGCCTGGATGGAGACCGCGCTGGGCTGCCCCTTCTGCCCCTCCTACCTGCTGATGGCCTGGTGCCCTCTGCCTCCCCATGCTGCTGCCTCCCCTCGCTTCCCTCCTTCCTGGACCATACTTTGTAGTGGCAGTCTTGGGGCACTGCCCACTCCCTTGAGAGAGCCACGCTGGTACCTGTCTCAGCTCCGTATCAGACAGGGCCCGCTTGCCACCCCGCGGGCAGTTCTGGAAATAGCAGGCAGAGGTGAAGGCCAGCAGGCCGAGGAGGCAGGCGGGCAGCATGGCGTCAGGCATCCTGGCGCACGCGGCTGGGCACTGAGTGGATGCTGCTCCGCCGGCTCTGTGCTGCTGCCTTGGCCGCTGCCTATTTATGTCCACAGGTGTTCCCTGCGGGCGGCCTGGCTCCACCCCTACCCAGTGGCCCCCCAGGAGCCCACAGCTATCAGGTCCCAAGCCATCAGCAGTGATTCAGGCGTCTGGGGACACACGTGGACCTGTCTGTGCAGAGGATGGTGGAGGAGGGGGCAGGCCACCCGGCTGTCAATGGCTGCAGTGACAGGAGCTGCTGTGAGTGTGACTGCAGCACTCCGAGCACAGGGAGAAGGACACGCAGGAGTCCATCTCTGAGCACGCTGGCTGCCCTGGAGAGGGGAATCAATGGGTCCCATCCTCCTGACACAGCCCCAGAGAGGGGTGAGGGGGGCTGGGCTGGCATAGTAGGAGCAGCATCAGGTCCCAGCCTGGGAGAGGTAGGGAGAGGACAGCCAGGTGTGGTCAGACCAGCCCTGCAACAGGACAAATGAGCAGGAACAGCACGCACCCTGGCGGCAGGGACAGAGGGCATTGGGAAGGGAGTTCCTGCCACAGCCCCATGCACCAGGAGGCCACTGTCAGGGAGCTGAGGAGGCACACAGGATAAAAAGGGATCATCCCCTCAGTGGGGTGGGTGGAGCAGGGGTACACTCAGGATGCTTCTGCCCCCCACTCCTACAGGGCAGGGCATGGACTCGGGCCCTGACATCAGGAAGTGGATTCTTGGCATGTCCCCCATCACCCTTGTCCCAAGCCCAGATAGGGGCTGTGGAGAGGAACAGACCTCCAGTGAGGTTCAAAGGTGCAGGTAGAGACCTCTGTGGAATCTGACAACCACCCTAACCAGTTCCTGTGCCCTCCCCATGACCCGAGGAAGGCACCTCTCAGACCTGGGCTGCGAGTAGAGACTCTGGGCCGGGGAGAGCCACCGACTGGTGGACCCAGCTTTCCTGGCCTTAGGTTTTTTTTGTTTTGTTTTGTTTTTTTGTTTTGAGGCAAGGTCTTGTTTGTGTAGTTCAGGTGTCCTCAGACTCACAGGGATCCTGCTGCCTCAGCCTCCCAAGTGCTGGGATTGCAGGTGTACCCCCATGCCCAACTTGCTTCCTGACCTAAGGCTGGCAGGAAGTGGCCCTCTGCTGGGACTCAGGCTGGTCATTGCTGTCTTCTTTGGCTGTGCTGTTCCAGCTCACACCAGCTCCCAGCTGCTTCTCCAGAGTGTACTGGGCTGGGGCTTCCAGGAAGCTCCAGGGGACACAGAGGCCACCTCCCCAACCTGGTGGCCAAGGCGGGGTTCTCCCACACTTGGACCTGAAGACAGATCCTTCAGGAATGACTCTTAGGGACATGAGGATGCTCTGCGAGGAGGTGCAGATGGGAGCCCAGTGGCCTGGGTCAGTGTCTCCTCTGATGCTTGCAGCTTCCAGACATGCAGGTCACCTGACCTTGAGCCTCACCTTCCTGCAGTGTGGCAGAGATCAGGAGCCAGCGCAGGGTGCAAGCACTGAGAACTTTCGGGAAGTGCTTGCAATGTCTTAGTCAGTGAATAGCAGTATCTTATCATTAATGCTTTTTTAGGAGCTGAGGAGCTGCTTCCTGAATTAGACCTAGAGGAACATTTTTGTCCCACTGGAGATGAACTTGGTGGCAAGTCACTGCCTATAAAGGAGTTGTGAGTCACACTGTGTGTGAGAGGCCCAGCCTAGCTGAGGCAGCTGAGTGGCTTTGCCCTACATTTTGCCCTTTCTGTGCCATTTGGAAACTCATGAGCCCAGACTGAGGCCAGGACATCCATGGCTTCGCCAGCCATGTTGGCCATGGTCATCATGCAAACACCTGCTTCCCACACTAGGCCCCTGCAAAGACCACAAATTCTGGTCGCCAGAGGACTTGCTTCTCCCAAAAGCCCCTCTCAGAACCTCCACATGCTGAGAAGTGTCTTGGCTGTGCTGACCGGCTAAACACATCACAAGTCACATGGACCACCCCAGACACCTGACACCCCATCTACACTCCCCAAATGACTTTTCACATCTCTGCACTTACATTCCCTATTCCTCACCTCATGATTTTGATTCATGCATCAGTTAAAAAGAGAGGGTTTAGCTGGGTGTGTTGGTGATTGCCTATAATCCCAGTAACTCGGGAGGCTGAGGCAGGATTGACGATTTGAGGATAACTCTGGCAACTGGGCCCTACCTCAAAATAAAAAAATGTATAGAGTGGGAGATGTAACTTAGTGGTAGAGGTTCCATCCCCTGGACTGGTGGGGGTGGGGAAGAAATGTGAATTTAGCTCTTTTACTGATCCCTTCCCTGCTGCCAGAAGCCTGCCACTGTGGAGACATAAGGAAGCTGAGGTAGTTGCCTCAGTGTCCTGAGTTAGAGCTTGACGGCACACTTTTCTGAGCTATGCTGTTAGTATAGGGTGATGACTCTTCCATCTCTGAACGGCTTTTTGTATTTCCTGTTAATGATCATCTTGGTTTTTCACTTGTGGTTCATCTGACATTTTTACTGGAGGCCAACATTTAGTCTTTAACTCTCTCCACTCAGGCTTCTGACCAGACCAACGCACCAAAATGCCTGTTATCAGGGTTGTAAACCACTCCAGGGCTGGGGTCTGCCTCAGTGCACAGCCCTTGCTTAGCACGCACGCAAAATCCTGGGTCTTGTCTCCAAGCACTATGAATAAATTAAACTGCATCTCGATTGCTAAATATGTGGTCATGCCTGTGTCCTTTATTTTGCATAAACCTACTTCAGTCGGCTGCACTAACCCCTGTCCTTCCTTCTCTCTCCCATCATGCTGGCCGTTCTTCCTTAACTCTCCTGACTCTGCTTGGACCTTGACCTTGATCATCCCAACTTTTCTCCTCTTCCTAGTGGAAATTTCACATCTTCTTGTAAATTGAAGAGTCGCAGATTCATACATCCGATTGTCCCCCATGACAGCTGACCAGTGATCCCCAGGGGCAGCTTGTGGACTCCCTGTGAGCACCCATGGTTTCTGCATCAGCACAGGGCACTCAGCTCCGATTCTCAAGCTGCTCTGTGCTGTCCCAGCGTACCCAGCTCTGAAGTCACCCCTCAGCCCTGCTCTGCTCCTCCCTGAACCTGACATTCATCTCCTTGTTCCTCATTCTTTGTCAGTCCTGCCTCTAAAATGCATGGCAACTCTACCTGCTTTACTTGTGCACCTGCTTTGGGGTTCTTATTTGTGTCTGATTTGTTTTTTGAAACAGGATCTTGCTATGGCCTCAAATTCCCAATCCTCCTGCCTCAGCCCCCTGAAAGGTCCACTCCTGCTTTGGGATCTGAGAAGTCACTGTTTCCTTGTGGTAGAAAGCCTCTTCCCTCACCAAGACCCACTTAACTTGCTTAAAATAATTTTATTTTCTCATGTGGTTGAGGCTGGCTTTGAACTCACCATAAGGTTCAGGCTGGCCTCAAATCTGTTACAATCCTCCTGACTCAGCCTTTCTGAGTGCTGGAATTATAGGCATGTGCCACCACATGCAGCCAAAGAACTTCTCTCTCTCTCTCTTTTTTTTTTTAACCAGTACCAGGGATCAAACTCACGACCACGCCCTTGCAAGGGAGGTGCTTATGCCGCTGAGCTAAATCCCCAGCCCCCAAAGAACTTCTCTTAAAGGACCCTTCCACTCAGCTTAGGCGCATACACTTGTAATAGCTACTCTGGAGGCTGAGGTAGGAGTATGGCAATTTCAAGACCAGTCTGGGCAACTTGTTTCAAAAATTTCAAAACAGAACAAAAGCCTAAACAGTTGGGAGTGTAGCTCAGTGGCAGATGCTTGCTATCACATAGCAGGTCTTGGGTTCAACACTGTCATGGGGGGCACCTTCACTGACTGTCCTGTCTAAAGCACCTCTCACTCACTAACTGCTGAGGTCCACTTGAGAAAAGGCTCGGTGTTTAGGGAGAAGAGCTGAAGAGTCTCAGCACCCCCAGCCACTTCCGGGGCACTTCAACCCAAAGAGAATGGAGCCTGCCAGCCAGAGGTGACTGCCAGAGATACCACAGGACTGGTGCCTCCTGCAACTTCAGCGTCTGGCACCGGGTCTGACGTGACTCCCGGAAGGCGCTTGTCCTTGGCAGGTGACAGTGTTAAGTAAAACTCACTGACATTAAGTGAGCCTCTCACAGCGTTAAGTAAGACTCGCCCTGACGTTAATGCAGCTGTGTGATGACTAAGAGGTGCATTAGCGGCACAGTGGGTTCTGCACATTCCTTACCCCAAGTGCGGAAACTACGGGCACCTGATTCTGTCTGACTCCTCCGCTTCACGGAGCAGAGGGGCACGATGTAGGGAGGCTCCAAGCAGGCACAGCAGAAAATGAAGCCCTGTCAGTTGGGAGAGCTCTGCATTCCCATCCCGCAGCTCTGCTGGGAACCGTGTGCTCAGCCTCCTTAGCATCGCCATTCTGTTGATGTGATGTGCAGCTGAGTGCCACTTGGGTAAAGGTCTGGCTTCTTGTATGGTCTGTGCACAGCCCAAGAGTGCTATAGTCTACTGCAGAGTGTGTTGTCTCCTTCACCTAAGCCAATTTCCTGTCCACTCAGCCATCGAGAACCAGAGGCTGCAAAAAGATCTTTATCCCCAGAGCAGGGTCAGGCCCTAACTGCTCTGTGCTCCTTGGAGTCCTGAGGGTGTCAGCTCCAGCTGTGTAGATTCAGCCCACTCCCCAGCTTGGGTGGAGCTGTGAATCAGCTGCCAGGCTCCCCCCAGGCTCACAGAAAAGCTTATGGTAGTCTCCATTTTAAATTTTGGGTGCACTGTTAACCAGCACATTGTGGAGGATTGTTTCTGGAACATATTTCCCCTACATGAGCAGCCATCTACACTAAGTCACTGTGAGCACTGGTATAAGGTGCTGTGTTACTACTGATTCAGTAACGTGCTTCACTCCCTGGAGTGGCGGCACTTGCTGTGAAGTAACACTGGATGCTGTACTACTGGGGCTGTCAAAACAATAAAATGGTGTTGGGAGTGGTGGTACATACCTGTAATCACAGCACAAAGG